CTTCTAGACTTACTGAAATATAAATTACTATGGGTTGCTTAGAAAATTTACTTTGTAATATATCAACATCATCATCATCATCCCCTTGACTTTTGTAATCGTAGGGGTGGAGATCTGAATGCAGAAGCCACCCTCTTTTCCACAATGGTCTATCAATGGCAGCCATCAGCAATTCTGGTACAGTCATAACTGTCCATTGTGTGACATTGTGCAACCAGTTTTTGCATGGGCATCCTCTCCTACATCGACCTTCAATGGTGTCTTGCATGATGGTCTTGCACAGGGTGTTGTGCCTTTATAATGTGTCCAAATCACGTCCTTTTTCTTTGGTTGACAGTGGCAAGAGATACCTGGTGTCCCATAAAACTTTCAACCCTTTTCTGCACAAACTCATTGTTTTTTTGTTCCCAATAGAAAATGCCAAGCAGTTTTCTCATGCATTTGTTTTCAAACTCTTGGACCGTTCTCTCTGTATCTGTAAGGTTATATATATATATATATATATATATATATATATATATGAAGAAATATAGTCTTAAGATGTGCTATATTTATGGGATAAAGTGCTCAATATCAGAGATAGAGCATGTGTAAATATAAAAGTGAACATAGAAGTTAACACTTAGAGGTGACAGTCTGTTTGATGATAGATGCAATCATCAGGTGGCCTGATGATTGCATCTAGCATGAAACAGACTGTCACCTCTAAGTGCTAACTTCTATGTTCACTTATATATATATATATATATAAACCTTACTGGAATTTTCAGTAGACATTGTAAAAAAGTGGTCAATATAGGTAACCCTAACCCTGCAGAGAACAATATATAACCATATTTAGAATACAAATATTAAAAACTTGCAATTCCCTGCAAGTCTATTTAAACAACTCGACCATTTTATATATATTATATATATAAAATAAAACTTGCACACCTTGAAGGATAAGACCAATTTTGACCTTTGTATACTATGTTCATGCTAGTGGATATTCTGATAAAATTTTGTCTTTGACCATATTATAACATAGTAACACTCATAGCAGTGCACCATCTATGTTTGAGTTTTAGATGATGATGGATGCTGTAAAAAAGTTCAAGTGTGAAAAAGTCTAGTGCAAGCAAAGTAGGTGCCATGTGCACATGTTCTCTTTTGTTCAATTAGAGCTCCTTTCAGAGGGATCAGATTGTGGGCCTTTCAGAGGTATTTGCAAGAATTCTTGCACATGTTGGATATTATGTATCCTTGGTGCATCAATGTTGGTAACAGTGATCAAATGAACATTCCTACAAATATAGACCAGGTTCTGGATGCCCATATAGTTGAAACATTCTCCAAGAGCAGACCATTGTAAGGGTAGCAGTGGCAGACTTCACAGCATAGATTGGAACAAATGTTAATGTCCAAGAAAGATATACAATGTATTAATATGGGGCCTGTTGATACATGCTTTGAAACATATGCACATACTGATCTGTGTATATGATCATTTACAGTAATGCAGCCATGATATGACACTGGGACCTCAGTGTAGGATCAGACAAGCTAATAAAGAAAGATTACTGACTGAAAATCTCCTTTTCACCCACACATTCTGAAAGTTTTGATTCATCACTGGGACAGTGTGCCTGCCCATGCAGTGGGCTGAGGTTAGATGCTAAGTAAGTGGGAGAAGGAAGAGAGACAGATTAGCACTGCCTATATGGAGCGATGGTATAAGATTAGGATTTAAGGGAATGGCTGACCCCTCTCAAAAGGGGGCTGGACAACCCCCTAAATTTGGAAAATCACTTGTGTAAACATATTTTGAAAATATGGAATTTTGTCAAAAGATTGATGCTAAGAGTAGAAGATAACTGAATCCAGACCTTGGTCAACCACAACCCTTCCAGATGCAGGACTCTATATAACGTGGAGGTTTGGACAACTTAGAGAGTCCCCACATTACTGCTACTGGAATCCACTTCATTTGCCAAGACCTCCTGACAGCCCTGAATACCAGAACTTAGAAAATTTAAATTAATATTAACACAAGCTGCCAACTCCAAAGTGGATCCCAGTGTCATTTCATTATAACAGTAAGTTGGAAGGGTGAAGGGTTAAAACCTCCTGTATACAACAAATCATATATAAACTAAATAAATGTTACATTTTGAAGCAGTTTATTCTTTATTCCAAAGAATCCTTTTTTGTATCACTCCTCACCACTAACCTCTGTCCTTCACTCCAGTTTACTTCTCTAGCAATCTTTTCAACCTCTAACATCAAAAAACCCAATATGGCAGAGAAGTGAAGGGTCATGAAGGAGACAAATGTCAGCTAGATCAAGAGGAGCCATACCCTTCAACATGATACTAGTGACAACAATGTATTAACAAGTGAGGAGTCAACCAGATGGTAACCACAGTGGTCTGAAGGAACTTGAAGACCAACACATGGGGCTACAACATCACCTGTACATTTAATCTCAAATATATTAAAACACATATTCAAGTAGTTGTAATTTTATTTTCTGACAAAATATATATATATATAATTAAGAATTCCTATATAATATTTTGGTATTATTAAAATTTTTCTTATGCTGATATTATTTTGGGTTGTTTGTAATATGTTGATCTATATGTGCACAAATTGCACTAAATTTTGACAAATGACAAGTCAAGCAATAAGTGAGTGTAGTGTATGTGTAGGCAATGTAAGAATTTTATGTTGTTTGTTGATTAGTAGTGTTGGAGATACAATCTCTCAAAATTTAACAAAATTTACTCACATATAGATTAGCATATCGCAAACAACCAAAATAATATTAACATAAGACAAATTTTAATAGATATCATCAATATATATTTTGATGTGCATAGTGTAGCAGTTATTAGCATGAAAAAACAAAATTGGCATGTGGAGTTCAAATTCAATCCAAGACTGTTGCATTTACTTTCAAATACCTTTGAAAAACAATCATTAATAGTAGGGCAAATTCAAATCTAGCTTTGGTTGGCAACCAGTTTAGGAGAAAGACAACTTTAAATTCAGTACTAGCTGGACATGGGGTGGGCAACTCTATCTAGTAAAAACATACTTTCTACAGAAACCACAGCAGCAACACCTAGCAAAGTGAGGTTGTGGGCATGGTGAGGCTGTGACACTATACTTCACAGGAGAGTCTAAAATGTTCACATTACAAACATACACACACACACACACACACACACACACACACACATATATAAGTCATCTAGTTCCCTGTCAGCAGGGCTAAGAATATTCCAGCTCTTCTTGCAAAAGATAGGACCTTCAGAAAAAGACCATTCACCAGGTGGATGCTTGCAAACTCAAATACTGGGTAACTGAATGAGAAAATGGAAAAAAATTACATGGGATTTTTTCCATTTTGTCACTCATTTGCCCCACATTGTTCTAAAGAAATTTACGTATCATATTCCCCTAAACTCAGATATGGATAACCAATGTTTATGTATAGACTCAAGCATAAAAATGACCAATGTTTACATAGGCTTGAGTATAAACATGACCAATGTTTATCTAGAGGCTCAAGTATAATAAAAAAAAAAAAAAACAGATTTCAATTTCAAATAACCCAACATGGATGGATATAATGCATCATATTTAAGTGCAATGTCAATCATTATTTTCTGCCTTCTTTATTCCTGTTCTTTTATTGTTCTCTCTTCTTCATTGGTATTTTTTCTGATATACTTTAACACTAAGTAACCTCTTGCATCTTAGTGGCTTTATTGCTTTGCTTGGAATGAAATGATTAAAAAACAAAATTTAACAATCAATCAAGAAATCCAGTTTTCTTGTGCAGTCATTGTACAATTTGACACTGACTGATAGCCTCTAGTAAGCTAACCATATTCAGTAATTATGGAGCTTATATGTGAATGTGTGAGTATGTACACAAGGTGGGTACAAAAATGTTATGAACCCAAGCAAAAAGAGATTTTTAAAATTCCAACGTTTCATCATTTGGTGAGATTTTGGGATAGGGGTTGGGCTGAAAACATTTCACAAATCTTCACTCAAACACAGACACTTTTTTTTAATCAATTCACCCCAAGCATAGCAATAATGCCACTTAAACACAAGGGGCTACTGAAAGTGAAACAGAATAAGAGAACTTTAGAAGGAACCGGAAAGCCAATCCAAAACAATCCTGTTTCCAATATATATATATATATATATATGTATGTATGTATGTATGTATGTATGTGTGTGTGTATATATATATATATATGTGTGTGTGATAAAATATGGTTTTAAGGTATGATATAGTTATGAGTAAAAATGCTCAATATCAGGGATAGAGTGTGTGTAAATGTGTAAGTGGACACTGAAGTCAACATAAAGTGGTGATGGTCTGTTTCATGCTTGGATGCAATCTTCAGGCCTTGAATACACAGTTTTAAAAAAAAATTCTATTTCAGACACAGGGTCCACTAAAAATAAAATTTGAAGTTATATATGTGTGTGTGTGTGTGTGTGTGTGTGTACAGATGTAAAAGAGAAAACATATCAAGTATACAACACAATGTGATTATCGCTACACAAAAATATATAAGCTTTTGTATATACACACGTATGAAGCCACTAAGTATGCATTGATATAAGACTAACAGGATATCAAAAAAAGAGAGTGATGATGGCCAAATTACAATTAATCAAAGTCAATTGCAAACAAACTTGTCCAATTATACTGGATCACTTTACCGTACAAATTAAGCCAAATTCTTTACTCATTTGCAAAGCTTCAGGTTTAGGAAGATGGAATCAGGTCTCCTGATTTAATTGCACCATCTACCAGTGTCCAGACTTATTTGTTTTAATATCTGGGAAACCAATCAAGGAGACAATTTTTTTTTCTTTATTTCTAGTGTAATCCACTAGAATTTTTACTTCAGTCCAACCCTTACCCCCATTGCTGAGAGAAAAATGTTTAGTGAAAATGGTCATCAGTTCCAAATGGGAGTTGTATATCAGAGCTGTTTATAGATCATCCCTCTGTCTGGAATCCGTAGAGCCTGGCTACCATGGCTTCGACTGTTATTAGCTGTAGTATTATCAGAGGCTGATGCAGGGTTTGAGTTAGTATGGGGGTGGAGGAGAGGTCGGCCAGGGCCATGGGAGTTGAGATGAGTATGATGATGATGCCCATGTTGATGGTGGTGGTGATGATGGTGAGGGCTCATGTGTTGATGTGGTTGATGATGTGGTTGGTGGTGATGGTGATGAGGAGGTGGGGGTGGGTGAGCTGGGCCATGTGGTTGGTGGATACTGTTGGGGTTCTCAGGATGGTTCAGTCTGTTCATTCTCTCTACTAGGTGGGTTTTCTCATGGCATTTCAGCAGGGACCTATAGATGAACTCCTTACCACAAACCTCACAGCTAAACAACACCTTGCGACCAGCACCCCCAACACTGTCACTGCTGCTAGTTCCAGCTGCATTTGCCCTTGTGAGATCACTGCCACTGTTACTGCCTGAGGGGCTCTCGCCATTGCAGTGCTGGTTCATGCTAATGCAGTTACCTGTAATGTTGCTGTCACTAGATCCCATATCGTTAGTGCAAATACTACCATTGTTTTCATGATTTCGAATGTGTGTCTTCAGGTTGCCCTTCTGCGAGAAACACTTCCCGCAGATGGGACATGAGAAGGGTTTTTGTCCATCATGTGACATCCGATGGATCTTAAGGTTACTGATTTGTGAGAATGATTTTTGGCAAATGTCACAAGAGTAAGGCTTATCGCCTGTATGTGAACGTTGATGGATTTTCAGATTACCTTTTTGCGAGAAGGATTTGTGGCATGTTTCACATGTGAACGGTTTCTCACCTGAGTGTACACGATGGTGGTTCTTTAGACTAGCTATCTGAGAGAATGACTTATTACATGTAACGCAGGTGTATGGCTTATCTCCTGTGTGACATCGTTGATGATGCTTAAGATTGCCTCGTTGAGCAAATGACTTCCAACAGAGGCTACATTTAAATGGCTTCTCACCCGTATGGGTCATCATGTGATGTTTGAGGTTCCCCTTCTGTGAAAAACCCCGTCCACATTCTTGGCAGGTGTAGGGTCGTTCGCCTGTGTGACAACGCTCGTGGCTACGCATACTGGATACTTGTGCAAAAACTTTACCACAATAAGTGCAAGAATATGTCTTTGTTTCCGTGTGAGCTTGTTGCTTGTGGCGTTTCATCTGGTCATAAAGAGGGAAGACTGCCCCACATGTATCACAGTCAAACTGCCGACCAAGGGGAAAAGCAGTTGATGTAGTAGGCGTGGCTGTTGGGGATGATGCATTTTGCTGCACGGAATACATGCTTGTTGGTTTTGTAAATATAATGTTCTGGTGGAAAGTGTTAATATTTTTGTTTTAAAACTTTTTCTCCTCCTTGTTAAGAAAAAAATTATAGAAAATTTGTGACTATTTTTCAAATTGACTTACTTATATTTTTAATCTTGAAATTAGAATGAAAGAAGTTACACGCTAATTATGCAGAAATTTTAACTTTTATCCTTAAAAAATAATTTAAAATGTATAATGTTAAACTTTATTTAAATCAGAAAATGCCTTTATTCCTATTTTTAAAATAAAGATTTGGTGATAACATATCAAGGTGAGTTATTTTGTAATATTTTAAAGAATTTTGTCAGTTACTGAGAGTAGCAATGTTTACAAAAGGCTGTTTTGTTAAAATATGTAAAAATGAATTTTAACTAAAATTTAATGTCATTCTTAATGGTTGTCTGGATTTAAAATTAATCTCATAAAAATTAAAAATTACAATTTCTTTTGTCTTTATGAACAACTAATATATATACAATGTCAAGAAATGTTACTTTTTAATTAAAAATATTTAATTAAATAACATTTAATTAAAATAGTATCTTTAATTATCTTTAAAATATTCATTTACTTATTAGAGAGGTCTTCCTTTAAAAAAAAAATTTATTGCTTCATAATATTTTTCAGTGTAATAGGAAAGTTAATCAAATTATTTTAATCTAAAAGTTGTCTTTTTAAAAAAGAAAATGGAAGCAAATTTATCAAATTAAATCAAAGTCAGATAAAACAATAATTTTTTTTCATTATTCAAAAAGTTTAATTCTAACATTAACAGGACAAAAAGTGAATTATTTTGATCAAATAGTAACTTGATGCTGCAGTTAGAATAAATACCTTCTGGATTTAAAATTAGTTAAATGCAGTGAATGACTAACGAGAATTTTAGTAAAACTAAGTTAAAGAAGAAAGAATTTTATAATTTAAGTTAAGAATTAAAAAAACAAATATTCATATTGATCAGAATTTACTGAATATACATGCTTTTTGCTCTTTCAAGTTTTAATTTGTCTTTAAGCTATAGATTTCTTTTCGTTTGTTAAATGTTAATTCATATTGTTTTTAAACAAAGATACACTGACACCTGTAGTGAAAAATGACCAAATATTTCTTTCTTTTACATGGAGGGAAAGCAGTGTGCAAAACAAAATATGATTATTGTTACTGGTATTGCTGATATATAGTTATTTGTGATTATGATGAAAGGACAGTCTTGTTCACAGGCTAGAGTTAGATGAAAAAAAAAGTTTCTTTGTTGATAACCAGAATATTATTTTGTCTTTGAAAGATGTGAATGTTCATTTGCACACTCGTATAACACATTCCTACCAGGGAAAGAAATGGTTCTGTTCCTCAGATACCTGTAACACAAGACAGAAAAAAAATACAATTAGATTTCATCAAATTACGAAAGAGCAATCAATTGTATCAAATAAAAAATATAACACAATAGTTGTTTGTTTTTTTTAATTTTTACTAATGTTAACTATATTACAAGGCTCAAGGGCCACTCAGAGTAGAGTGCTACTGAAGACAGTTGTGTGAACGGTAAGATTAAGTGGCAGAGTTTATGAGAATATGTGTGAAAGATAATGGTTAACCCTAGACTTGAAGAGGTTAAGATAGCTGTGATCAGAAAAGCATCCTCCTGGGATTCTGTTCCATAAAGCAACAGTTCTTGTGAAGAAGCTATCCAAGTGGAACTTACTCCTTACTAAAGAAATAAGAAAATGAGGGTGGTTCACCTCAATGTATGCAGCATGGTGGGTCTTAGCTGGAAGGTTTAAAGTTGGGAATGTAGAGCATCTGAACATTTGCCATGGAAATAGCAATAGATTAACAAGAGATTTGCAATGTTGCATTTTTGGGAAAGAGGCTTGACATTTGAGAATATGACTTCCCTCACAAGTCTGTGTAAATATCCTAGCTTTAAATGTCTGAGCTGATGGAAATAAGGAATGAAGCTCATTTGCCATGGAAATAGCAATAGAGTAGCAAGAGGTTTGCAATGTTTTGTCTATGTGAAAGCAGTTGTAAGGTGGAAAAGGATTCATTACCCAGTAAAATATATGACAGATAATATCAAAATAAACCAAATAATATAAAGGAAACCCCACAAAACTGATATTGTCCAAGTGGTTCCAAAGTATATTTGATTAATAATTTTGCCAAACTAATTTGCAATATGTCCAGACTAATATCCTTAACCCTAATGGTTTATATTACTACTTGTACCTGTTGTGGCATTCACCTGGGATCGGTTGAGCCAGTTCAGTCAAACAAATTTGCCACATCCCAAACGAAAGCTGACCAAGCTTCACAGATGGATGCAATCGAGTCAGTAAGAGCTAACCAGTCATGGTTCCAACAGCAAATCCTGAACACACTCGGTCCTAAGAACAGTTCAATATCATCTTTAACCTTCTTAAGCCACATTTTTAGCTGTCCACCATGCCACTTCTGCCAAACTTATGGAGGGTCCAAAGAAATCACCTCACATTTGATTTCACCCAGTTGTTGACAAAGATCCTGTCCAATCACCAAAGTTGCCTTGTGAGCAAAGGTTGTTGGAGAGAGCCAATTTTGCATCAAGTGTGGACAGCACAGTGTTTGAGATCAAGTGTTACCAGTAGACGCAGAGAATTAATCACAAGCAGAAGTGATCAAATACCTCAAGCTTGCAAAGGTCCACAGCTCTCACTGGCCACATTTCATGGTTGCAGACCAGGATCATCTTGACTAGAGCCTGGTAGATCAAAACTTTCATGATTTTGATCTCAGATTAACACTACAGCCAAGTCCTAAGCCAACAGAATGCAACACAGACAGCATCAATGCAGGCATGGATATCCTCCATTCCTTGGTTGACTTCCTCTAGGGTTTCCCCATCAAGAATAACCAGTAACTTCTCAGAACTTAGCTTTCAGAATTTTGATCTTGGCTGCATTAATCTTCATGCCAATCTGGGATGAAATCATTTCATTTCATTGACTGCTAATTGAACATCAGAAAAATTTTCCTCAAGATGGTTTATCCTTTCATATTGACCACTACATTGTTCTGTCTTCCATCAATAAATAACTCAGAGAAAGAAATGATCAATTTTTCCAACTTAGATATAATCATTCTCAGACAAGGAAGAAATTCTGTCAAAAATTGTTCAAAGTAAATGGAGTGCATTTTGGGGTCTAAAGTCATAGAATTAATGAGTGTTGTGACATGAGCAAGGTGTGATATGTGTATTTTGGGGGGGACCATATTGCCATCAGACAACACATTTACTTACAAACAATACCAAAATACTAGTAAAAATCAAATGGTAGAAACAGCAAACACTCATACAACGAAAACAACAATCAATAAATAAAAACAATTATGATCTAAGAACCCACATCTTTATCTCATATCCAAGAATTTAATTTCTTCTTTGCTGATCACTTTTTTATGATAATGGCATTGATGACTAAATTTGCCGCCAACATGCAGGTTCAGGACTAGAAGCTTCCAGTTTCAACACAACCTGCTCCCAACGAGATTTGGTTGGAGGTGAAATAAAATCAGAACAGAAGAAAATGCCGATGTGAATTTGTTAATAGGAAGATATCAACTTGTCAGGAAGTGATCCACGCACTTGATTTCATGACCTTCCTGTGCGGCACATATAAAATGAGACATGCTGAATCCAGTTATGAAACTGCAATGGACTGCTGCTGATTCTTAAAATTTCAAGTTGTACCTTCTGTAACATGTCTGTGATGCATAGCCCTCTTCATCCGTTGGTTCAATGTTTGAGTTCTGTTGTAATCGTCATCCACTTGTTCCACCATTAGGGTCTTTCATGTTGGTTGTGCCTAGTCTGGGTCCTCATCTTAGAACTTGTTGCTAAAGATGGCCCTACCAGGAAATTTAGAACTCCTGACAGCATCACTCTCAGGGTTATTGGACCACGCAATATGTGCTCTTCGACTGGAATCAAACCTGTTCTTATTCTTTGTGGCTGAATGGTTAACAGCACATCAGATCAAATGATGCTCCCCCATAAGGGTTACAGGTTCAATTCCTGTCAGAGAGCACATATTTTCTATGAAATTTCCTGAACATTCAGGCCAGTAAATGTAATTAATAATGTTTAATTAAAAAAGGAACATTTACTTAAATAAATTATATCTATATAAACAACATATAAACAGAAAGTATATTTTACACACACATACAGTGGGGAAAACAAATATTTGTACACATACAAATTTTTAATTTATTGTATTTTCAATTAATTGAATAAACATATTTTTATATAATTAACTGTACAAAGATGCATAATAACTAAATATGCATAGAAAACAGAAAAAAAATACATTATCTTCATTTAATACTTTATAGAAAAGCCATTATTCACTTCTACAGCAACCAACCTCTTCTTGCAGTTCTCAATTAATGATTTGCAAATTTTAGATGGTATTTTGTTCCATTCTTCTTTGCATATGGTCTTCAGATCTGGGATGTTGGAGCACTCAGTTGGATTTGAATTTTCAAATAACGCCACAGATTCTGGATTGGGTTTAAATCTGGGGGCTGACTTGGCCATTTCAGGATATTTACATAATTTTAAGCAAGTAGATTTTGCGGTGTGCTTAGGATCATTATCTTGTTGGAAGGAGGAAGTTCAAGATTTTCAACTGAAATCATTAAATTTGCTTCCAAAATATTTTGATATGCTGCAGCATTCATTCTACCATCTATACTGATATGTTGCCAGTATCTTTTGCAGAAAAACATTCCCAAACCATGATGCCACCACCACCAAATTTCACTGTTGGAACTGTGTTCCTTTGCTTGAAGGCATCGCCAACTTTCCTCCATACATGATTTCTAGAATTATGTTCGAACAACTCGGTTTTAGTTTTGTCTGTCCATAATACTCTTTCCCAATACGATTTCTCCTTATCCTTATGTTCATGAATGAATTTCAATCTGGC